CCCGCCACTACAGCTGGGCTAAACTGAAAGCTGCTTCAACCCCTCAGTTTTCCCTGAGTTTAACCCCTCTTTTAATATATATATATATATATATATAAACCTAACCTAACCTTAAACCTTCCCCTACAGTTACACTTTCAGATAAACATCATTTACTATTTTTAATGATTTAATTAAAAATGTCAAACATTTCAGGTTTTACTATCCTTGTGGGGACATTTGGTCCCCACAATGTAGCATAAACAAACACACACACACAGTCTGGTCAGCTATCCTTGTGGGGACTCTCCATAGGCGTAATGTTTTTTTCTACTGTACAGATCGTATATTCTATTGCCCTACACCTAAACCTACCCCTCACAGGAAACTTTGTGCATTTTTAGATTTTCAAAAAACTTAATTCTGTATGATTTATAAGCTTTTGTACCCGTGGGGACCACAATTTAGGTCCCCACCGTGACATGAGTCTGTGTGTATTCAGGTTTAAGTCCCCACCAGAATAGAAAAACAGGTACACACACGCACATATTTGGATTCCACATTCAGCTGAAAAATTAAATGTGGTATTTTTACACTGATTGATTGATTGATTTTATTTTTATTTTATTTTTTTTACAAAAATTGAGGCATTTCTAGAACATTAAGTTATTTATTAGAGCTGGGTTCTTACTGTTATACCTGAATCATTCATTAGAATTATTTAGTAAATGTTTAATTGAAAGGCCGAGCATGTGTTTGGTGTTGCTGCTTAATGTCCACTAGATGGCAGTGTTACCCATACTTCGCCGATAGAGGGGAGACGAGGGCTAGTGTCGTTTTAAACAAACAAAAAAAATCTACTGTGAATATATCAGGGGGAATGTGTTTTTGAAAGTATGTAGATGCATAACCTAAAGACTTATCAACAAAAAAGCTACTGAAAAAGATACAGATCATTGAACACTATGTGGGGTAAGTTGTCACACAGGGAAGCAGCTGTTCATTAACATTAATTTGAGGGAAAAAAACATATTTCTTTGATATCTAGAATATTCAAAAGAAAATCCACCTTCTAAAAATGTGTATTTACTAAACAGTAGTATCAATTTAAATAATAAAATAATTATGGAAAAAAATGAATGAATTGGAAACTTACAGAAAATGTAATTTAAGGGATAGTTCACCCAAAAATTGAAATTCTGTCATTAATTACTCACCCTCATGTCGTTCCAAACCTGTAAGACCTTCACTCATCTTCGGAATACAAATTAAAATTTATTGATGAAATCCGAGAGCTTTCTGATGATGCAACTCCTCAGATGATGCCAACCCTGAAACAACATACAGAACTACCACATTTTGCTATAAGTTTGATTGCATCATATAATAATTGCTGTTAATATTGTTCATCGTCTGTTTTATTATGTCTTATATTGATTTTTCTGTACTGCTGGTTCGTCTGGTCAGAGGAGAACTGGCCCCCCGACTGAGCCTGGTTTCTCCCAAGGTTTTTTCTCCATTCTGTCACTGATGGAGTTTTGGTTCCTTGCCGCTGTCGCCTCTGGCTTGCTTAGTTGGGGACACTTCATTTCCAGCGTTATCGTTGACATAATTGCAAAGATATTATTTAAACTGAACTAAGCTGGATGTTGACATCACTGAATTCAATGATGAACTGTCTTTAACTGAAAAATGAGTGTTTACTATTGTCATTTTGCATTATTGACACTATTTTCCTAATTAATGCTGTTCAGTTGCTTTGTCACAATCTGTATTGTTAAAAGCGCTATATAAATAAAGGTGACTTGACTTGACTTGACTCACACACTCTCACACTCACACACACTCTCTCACTCTCACACGAGTCTCACACACACTCTCACACACACACTCACACACACACACACTCACACTCTCACACACTCACACACACACACTCACACTCTCACACACTCACACACACACACTCACACTCTCACACACTCACACACACACACTCACACTCTCACACACTCACACACACACACTCACACTCTCACACACACACACACTCACACTCACTCACACACACACACAGCCTGTCTGAACAGAGAACATACTCACATCTGTTTGCTCTCAGTCCCTCGAAGGACACGGGCTCCTCGTCATCATAATACTCATAATGCCATTCATAATCGGCGCCAGACTGACTCTGGTTTGAATATTCACTCATGTTTCAGCTGAGTACTTCAGTCAGATGAGTTCATACGGATCATGACCAGTGAGCAAATCACGCCTGCAGCATCTTCATTGCATGCGCTTGCTTTGCGTCTCTCTTTCTGTTCAAACAACACATAATTCATGAAATCACAAACACCCACCTTCAGAGGAGAGAGAGAGAGAGAGAGAGAGAGAGAGAGAGAGAGAGAGAGAGAGAGAGAGAGAGAGAGAGAGAGAGAG